CTTCCCCTCCACAAATTATACCAATATCAAACACAGTGAAAACAGGGGTTATACTGTGGGGGAGGGATATACAAAGCAACAAAGAAATATAAATATGTTAGACCAATAGCAAGAAAGGAAAAACATTCGAGTCCTTAACTTGGGGTTCATTTCGCTTAACATCAACTTATCTGACCATTTCTGCACAAGACCATACTAAAGCTACCAGAACAACTATGTTTATTGCAACATTATTTACCATAGCTAAGATATGGAACCAATTCGGATGCCCCTCAGTAGATGAATGGATCAAGAAAATGTGGTATGTATATACAATGGAATTCTATGCCTCCATCAGAAAGAATGACATTGCCCCATTTGTTAGGAAATGGAAAGACTTGGAAAAAATTATATTAAGTGAAATAAACCAGGCGCAAAGAAAGATAGATCCATGGTTTCCCTTATTTGCAATAACTAGTATATGTCTGAGACAAGTGGAAATGGTCTCACTTTGCTTTTCTAACTCAAGGCTGATGCCCTACTACTTGAATCACACCTTCATTTCTGGATTTTTGCTGGTCAACTGAAGATGTGTCTGCCTGGACTGGCTTTGATCTGTGATCCTCAGATCTCAGCTTTCTGAGTAGCTAGGACCATAGATGCGAGCCACTAGTACCCAGCTGGCAGTTACTTGGAACAAATGCCAGTGCCTTGTTTGTTTCAGAGACCTGATTTTAAAATGCAGTATTTGGGCAGATCTGTATAGTATAGTATAACAGACTATTAGAGACTGCTTCTTTTAAACTCTTACATTTCTATCACACACATAACTCCCGTGACAATTATATTCTGAAAGGCCCATCTATTCCAAAGGTCCAGAAGAGTTTGAGCACCCTTCCCTCATCCACACCAACTCAAGGAATTGTCTCCTAAGTCCTGCCCTTCTGCCCCATTTCCTCCAGGCCTTCTTCCTCTTCAATTGTCTTTACCCTGGGCTGATCCTGAAAGCTGTAACTTTTCTTATCTGTCCACTCTTTTCTTTATTTGTGCTCATCTTTCAAGTCTGTTTCCACATTCTCTTGGAAGCATCTTTATGACTGTGTGTGTGTGTGTGTGTGTGTGTGTGTGTGTGTGTGTGTGTGTGTGTATGTTTGCACCCCGGGCACTGTTCCTGAGCTAATGTGCTCAAATCCAGCACTCTACCACTTGAGCCACAGCTCTATTTCCAGCTTTTTTGGTGATTAATTGGAGATAAGAATCTCACCATGTTTCCTGCCTGGGCTGGCTTCAAATTGTGATCCTCAGATCTCAGCCTCCTAAGTAGCTAGGATTAAGGCACAAGCCACTGACACATGGCTTCAAAATAGTTTTAAAGCCCAAGTTATATTTCCTTAGGATACGTCCTACTTAAATTGACCCTTCCTCTTTAAAATTTTTAAATTATTTTTGAGGGAGTGTATGGTGCTGGTTTATATGAAAGGCTTCATACTTGTTAGACATTGCTCTGCCATTTAAGTCACACTTCCAGCCCATTTTTTGTTTTAGTTACTTTTTGGATAGCATCCTATACTGAACTGTGATCCTCCCATTTACACCTTCCACATAGCTGGAATGAGAGGGACACACTACTATATCTCATCATTTTTTTGAGATGAGGTCTTACTTTTTCCCAGGTTAGCTTGAACCCTGATCCTCCTGATATCTTCCTCCTGAGATGCTGGGATTACAAGGGTAAGCATCACACTTTGTCTGAATCTTCATCTTTGGTAATACTTCTTGTTTAAGACCTGCTTTCTCTAGGTTCAAGAAATTAATCTCTTACATTACATATACTACTATGTCCCTAGAACTAAATCTAGGAGGATTTTGGTATAATGTCCTTATCATCCTCTTTTTTTTAAATGAGAAGGTTGGTAATCTCACCCCAAGTTAGGTTAACAATGTAAATTATTAAGATTCATATGCTATAAGACACTTAAGTTTATAATAATGAAATATGGAACAAAAGGGGCTAATATGTGCATGGGAGGGAAAATCTGGGAGAGAGCAAAAGGAAAAGGTAACATTGTCTGAAAAGAAATGTACTCATTACCTGACTTATAAAGTGGTAACCCTTGTGTACATCACCTTTATAATAACAATAAAAATTTAATATAAAAAGTAGCTAATATGACTCAACATTACTCTGGCAAAAGAGGTATACTAAGTTTTATTTTATATACAATCTTATAGTAGCACATTTTATTTATTTATATATTTATTTTTCATTTATTTAGTGGCAGTTCTAGGGCTTGAACAAGGCCAAGGTGGTGTTCTTTAGATTTTTATTGCTCAAGGTTGGCATTCTACCACTTGAGCCATACCTCCACATCCACCATTTATTTTTTAAAAGTTCAAAAGTCCCAAAATGCCTTTTCTAAAAATGTTGAAAGATTTTGCTTCTTACTTAATGTCAACATACAAGCATTGATCTGTTTCTTAAAAGACTCTTGAGAAACAGGATCAGTATTCTCAAAGAAGCTTTCTGTCCTGTTAAGTACTTCTCTTTGCCATCACCTCTTTTGAAAATTCCATTAAGAAAAATCTGAAAATACTTTTCAAATCAAAAGTGGTTTTTCCATTCTTTTGCCAAAGACCACATTCCACCTTGAGGAGGGTTACTAAGCTATGCAGACTAGAAATGCCAACAGAAATCCCAAGTATGGCCTGACACCAAGGGCCTTGATGAATCTCAGCACCTACAAAGGTGATATATATGGTCTTGACTTAGAGTCACTTTTCAGATTAAAGTGCCAGTGTGTGTGTGTGTGTGTGTGTGTGTGTGTGTGTGTGTGTGTGTGTGTGTGTGTGGTGGAGGGAAGAAGCAGACTATGAACAGGAGCTTGAGGTTCAGAAGGCTGGGGGGAAAATCTGATTTATTGACTTGCTTTAGTGGAAAAATTTATTTTCAAACTTGGAAATGGAACATCACAAACTCCATCAGCAAAAGTGTGCTTTGAAAAGTCTCTCCAAAAACTACACAAAAAGTAAGTAAAGCAAAAATTTTTGGAAACCTTCTAGGAAATGAACAATCTACCCACACCTTCTCAGGAATATTTCTTTCCCTAGTTAGGTACTGTTGGCTCACATCTGTAACTAGCTACTCAAGAGGATGTGATCTGAGGATCCAGGTTCAAAGCCAGCTTGGGCAGATGAGTCCATGAGACACTTATCTCCTCTCCAATTTACTACCAAATGCTGAAAGCGGATCTGTGGCTCAAGTGGTAGAGCATGAGCCTTGAGTCAAAAATGCTCAGGGACAGTGCTCAGGCCCTGAATTCAAGCCCCAGGACTGGTACAAAACAAAACAGAGTAATCCTAGCCACTGGGGAGGATAAGGCATGAGGATTATGAGTGAGGCTAGCCTAGGCTACATAGTGAGATTTGTCTCAAAAACAAACAAATAAGAATGTAGTAAGAACTCACTAGTATATAGGACATCAACACTCATAAACAGGCAATTGAATCTGATAACATATTCCTGTTCTGTTGAACTTGCAATACTGTGACTGTCTCTTTCTATATGTACAAACCAGGGCCACATTATAAGAGGGAAATCACCACAATTGTTTCTATGCAAGTCACACACTTGATAATGATGCTTTGACCACCCAGGATCCACAGCTTCTGAACACTCTTCCCCCTATAATCTCTTCATTCTAGAATCACCTTTAAACCAATAAAATCCATTAGGGCCAAAAATAAAGCACAGAAAATGATTTAAGGATCCTTGAAAGCAAAAGAGTTAAGGTAACACTTCAGGAAGAGGTCACAGGCCCTAATCAACTATGAATGCATGAATTCTTGTCAGTGTTTAGGTTGAAGAATATCAGTGAGGATGAATCATTTCTGTTTGAAGCAAAACAACAACAATAACAACAACAACAACACACACACACACATGCAAAATCCCCACAAAAATCCCACACTAACACTGCAACACAGACACTTGGAAACTATCATCTTTGAACAATCACAGGAAGTGTCTGTTCAACATTTGCAGTATTTTCCCCTCTTGGGGATTATGATTGTTGGAGAAGGATAAAAGATAATATATTTTTATCTTCTCAGATGCCAGATACATCTCTTGATATAGATGCCATATTTTATATATATCAAGAAATATGATCATCCAGGTACTGGTGGTTCACATCTGTAATGTTTGCTATTCAGGAGGAGACTAAAATCTGAGGATCAGGATTCAAAGTTAGCCTGGGCAGAAGTGTCTGTGAGACTCTTATCAGTAATTAACCACACCTAGGTCCTGAATTCAGGATACACCAGAATACAACACACACACACACACACACAAATCCACAAAAGTGTGAATACATTAGGGAAAAACAAATGGAAAGGGTGACATGGATCAAGATGCATTCTATTCCTAAACTAGCACATTGAATTGAAACCATTTTGTACAACTACTGAAAGACAATGAAAGAACTATATAAATTTTTTTAAGTACAAACAAACAGACACACTGGTCCCCTAGGGGCTGGACAGAAGGACTGAACCAATCTGGAGCATCAGTCATTGACCAAATTATAGCTTCCAAAGGTGTATGTTAAGGAGACTTAGCAAACAAAGACTAAGCTTACTCTTACAGGATCTGAATGATTCTGCATAGAAGTAATGGAGGCTTGGAAAATGGAAGTTCAAGTAGCTAACAGAAGGTTTTAGACTCATGGACAAGAGGCAATTGCATATTGTGATAATGTAATGCCCCTTTCAATGTTAAAGACTAGAACAGTTAATACAATCGGAGTTTAGAAATTATAGTATTTATCTAATCTACTGCAAAGAAAATGAGTTTTTCAAGGCCAGAACTGAGTAAGCCTATTCATTATAGACCTGGAACCTCTATTTTTCCTCTATAGTATGCTCTGTGATCACTTATGCAGAACTGGGGGAAAACTAAGAACACACCAGCAGCAGAGGAACAGTCAGCTACTTGCTGACAGTTGGAATCATGAAGCCATTACCGTGTTCCAGCGCTTTCATTGGAAACCAGAAGAGGATGAGGGAGTGGACCAAGGCATTGATGCAGTGACCCCAGAAAACCTGTGGGAAGACAGACAAGTGAGTCAGTGAGGCCAGACCCTGAAACTCGGTGCAGTTCACAGCAAATGGTGCATTGTGGGAGCTCCTAGCAGTGGGCTATAAGATTCTGTAGGGAGCATGCTAATCTCTAACTCATGAAAACACCAAGGAACAACTGCTTTTCCCATTTACACCCAGATGATTGGATGATCTCCAGATAGCACTTTTACTACAAAACCTGTACTGCTAAATATATCAGATAGATCTATATATCTATGTCTAGGTGCCTAAATGTCTATATCTAGCTAGCCAGATATTTAAACATCTTTCATCTGTCAATCTGTATAAATCAATCTTATGTAGCTCTCTCTCTCTCTCTCTCTCTGATTATAGGCATGAGCCACTGGTGCCTGGCTGGGCCTTTATTTAAACTTCCTTAATCACTCCCACACAGAATCATGGCTACAGTGCTTTCATGCCCTACTTCCTCTACAGGAAAGTCAGGGGCTTCCCCTAAGGCAGGCAGCACTCTGCCAGTCTGCCACTCCTTGCAGGACTGATAGGTCCTTTTTGCCATTAAAGTTTGTTCAATCCCTTTCATATACAACCACTGACTCCTCAGGATAACCTACACAGATTCAGATTGAACATCCCTAATCTGAAAATCCCAAATCCAAAATACTCGAAATCTGAGTGAGACCATAAGTGGAAAATCCCACAAACTTATTAAAATTTTTATGCAAAAATTACTTGCAGGCTATGTGTATAAATAAATATGTAAATAAATTTTACATTTAGACTTGGAGACTATCCCTGTGTCATATCATTTTATTATATATAATATACATTTTATTTTATATTGTATAATATTAAATATTATATACTATTTATAATATGCAATATAAATGATATATATGTATCATATCTAGGAGATATCATTATATACATAAAAATATAAATACTCCTAAATTTAAAAAAAATCCTATGAATTCTAAAACACTTCTGGTCCTAAACATCAGATACAGGATGCTCAACCTGTGCCTAGATGCTTTCTGTTTTCTGATTTTTCAGTTAAAAAATAAACAAAACTATCACTGATTTAATTCCTGTGTTTGTATCTAGCCAATCTTTCTAGCTAAAGAAAGATCTTCTTTTAAAATGAAAAATACAGTAAGGGTTAGACAGGCTCTTAAGAGGTATCAATGCAGGATTGCAGCTGTTTTCTTTGACAGGGAAGGCCAAAGTGATAAAGAAGAGGGAAGGAGTAAGCCCACTGGAACTGAATGCACAACGTGAGGATCACCTTAGAGGGCTATCTAGCTCCCTGGACTTGCTATCTGAAGGAAGGCTGTCATGGTCTCATTGTTTCTCCATTGTTTTCTTTCAAGTGTCACATTATTTCATAGGCAGATGACTAGGCTGAGCCACAGATACCTGCCTGAAGGTGCAGGCAGGGCTATGCCTTTCTGAGTTGACAGCTCTTTGTGATCACACTGTTTACCTTTGTGTTGAAGCCTTCAGCATTCTGGGTGATTTTGTAGAGCTGTGGGAACCTGAGCATGCTCTCTTGAGTGCAAGACCTCTCAAAAATTCCCAATGTGAAGGGTGGCAATGCAGTGAAGATCTGTGTGGGAGACAATGAACAATTAGGAACGGCCTTCTACCTTGTAGTTCTTTGAAATGATGACTTATCTTCCACTCAAGTCCAAACTTGAGATTCTATGATTCAAACACCTTCCAGACACCCACCGGACAAAGAAATAAATGAACCACCAGTTTTCACTGTTGATCTGTGTAAAATGAATCCATTGAACATTAAAAACAACATTGTGAACATTCGATGAGTTGAGCTATCAATGAACAACTGCCCTCCTTTGTAGTCTGAACAGTGATGGAGATTTACATCAGAGTCTGGGAAGTTTCCTATTTTCTGTCAGCACTGGCCAAGCACAATTTCCCAACTTTCTTACTGCATTGTATCCTCAAAGTTCAGGAATCATGAGGTACTTTGTCCATTTAGTCATTCAGCAGACATCTATTGGGAATGAAAGATGGGCCAATTGTATGACAAGCACCATAGATTTAAAAACAGGAGAGAAAAGTAGAGAAGAGAAAGCAGGTCTCTGACTTCAAGTAGAGTTGGTGACCTGGGGTAGCAGGGTGACCAGCATATAGATATATATAACACAGAAGTCTACAAAATTACTCATAACCACAGAGCTGAAGAAGAGTAAGTCTGGGAAAGCATTCTTTTATTGGTATATGTGACTTGAACAGTACTAGACAATAGGACTTGGCTGGAAGATAAAGAAAATGGGGGGAAAGAGCAAGGGAAGAGGTGACATTGTCCAAAAAGAAACATATGCATTACATGACTTACGTATTTGTAACCATCTACACATCACCTTTATAATAACAATTTAAAAAAAAAAGAAAAAGAAAATGGGAAAGGCCAGGCACTGGTAGCTCATATCTATAGCCTAGCTACTGGGGAGGCTGAGATCTGAGGGTCACAGTTAGAAGCCAGCCAGGGCAGAGAAGCCCACAATACTCTTATGTCCAATTAACCACAGGCACACAAAAAAGCTGGAAGTGGAGCTGTGGTACAAGCATGGAGTGCTACCTTGAGGAATCCCTACCCCCAAATAGCTTAAGGATAACACCCTGCCCTGAGTTCAAGCCCCAGGACTTAAACAAAAAAATATAAAAAGAACATAGGGAAGGGATTCTCCAGGAAGCCCTTTAAGAAGAGCACCCCTTACAAAGTTCCCAAGCATCATAAAGACATTGGGGAGAACCTGTAAGACCACAGGATGGTGATTAGCTAAGAGGCAGAGCCTCTGGGACACTGAGTTCACAGTGTCTAAGATGTTGGCCTTTTTTTTGTGTGTGTGAAGGTACAGAGGCATGAAATCAGGGCCTGGGTGTATCCTAGCTTTCTCACTCAAAGTTGGTGCTCTACCACTTGAGCTACAGCTCCACTCGGCTATTTTTGTGGTTAATTGGAGTTAAGAGTCTCATGGACTTTTTTTGCTCTGCTGACTTTAGAATTGTAATCCTCAGATCTCAGCCTCCCCAGTAGCTAGAATTATAGGTGTGAACCATCAGTTCCCTGCTGCTTGTGCTTTTTTAAAAAAATTATTTTATTTTTTTATTGTGAAAATGCAGTATAGAGGAGTTACAATTACATGGGCAAGATAATGAGTACATTTCTTATCAAGCATTGTTGCCTCCTCTTTGTTTCCCCTTCCCCACCCTTCCCATCCTCCCCACCCCCCCAAAGTTGTAAAGTTCATTTTTCGACGTAATGACGTGTACATCTCATTGTTGCAATGGGTCCACCTGTATCCCTATTTAAAAGATTTGTTTTTTCCCTTCCCCTACACAAATTATACCAATATCAAATACAGTGAAAACAGGGGTTATACCGTGGGGGAGGGACATACAAAGCAACATAGAAATCATCTTACAAGTATGTTAGAAACAATTGCATGAAAGAAAAGAAACATTTGAATACTTATCTTGGGGTTCATTCTCCTAACATCAACTTATCTGACCTTTTCTGCTTGACTCAGACATACATAGTTATTGTGAATAAGGGAAACCATGGGACCTATGTTTCTTTGGGCCTGGATTACTTTGCTTAATATAATTTTTTCCAAGTCTTTCCATTTCCTAACAAATGGGGCAATGTCATTCTTTCTGATGGAGGCATAGAATCCCATTGTGCATATATACCACATTTTCTTGATCCATTCATCTACTGAGGGGCATCTGGGTTGGTTCCATATCTTAGCTATGGTAAATAATGCTGCAATAAACATAGTTGTGCTGGTAGCTTTAGTATAGTCAGTATGGAGGTTCCTCAAAAGACTCCACATAGAGCTCCCCTATGACCCAGCAATCCCACTTTTGGGCATTTACCCAAACGATCAAGACTATAGTAAAGCTGTGCTTTTTTTTTTTTAAAGAAAGATTCCAATGATTTGTTTCCCTCTACTGGCAATGGTTTTAGTGGTCTTTTAGTAGTCTCTAGTCTAGTTTTTTCAACTATGATAAAGTTCAACTTACAAATTAGACACAGTACGAGATTAACAACAGTAAACATTAATGAACGAGAACAATTATAATGACAAATTATCAGGAAAGTTAAAACTTATAAATTATTTTCAGAATTTTTCACTTAATACTTTTAGATCATAGTTAACAGTGAGTAAATGAAATCACAAATAAGGAGAAATGAATAGAATTGGGGTCTAATGTGACAGTGTGAACTCATGATTTAGGAAAACCGTCTACTTTTCAAGTTTGCTTTAATGCACTTTAACATGCTTTAAGAATTAAATTGAGAAACGATTAGTTACTGTAGCTGGCTTGCGGAATCGAAATAAAAAATAAGGACAGAAAATGAAAAAGCAGAAGAGAAATACTATTTAAAGAAAAGGCAAAGAAGAAATCAGCCCAGATGTGAACTCAAAGCAATGAGTCTCTAGAAAGATTGTGGACTGAAAGAAAAGAAGCTAAATAAGACATTGTTGGAAAAGTAATGGCAAGACTGGTATATGGACTAACATGGGCAAGATAATAATATTGTATTCATGTTAAATGTTTCTAATTTGATTGATACACTGTGGTTTATATATATGGATATACTGTTTATATATATTTATATATTGAAATACTGTGATTTATACTGTAGTGTTAATTCATAAGATGACAACCATGTCACTTGTAACACTCTCAACTCACTCAGAATCAATGTGCATATGTATGCAGATGTATGGATGACATATAAATGGAGGCAAGGTGCTAACAAAGGATGGATCAGGATAACTTTTCTGTTTTCAATTTATTTCAAAATCAGAACAATTTATTTCCCTAAGAAAAACCTCCACCTATGGCTTAAATATGGTGTGTTTCCCCAAAGGTCTCTATGTGGCATGGATGAGTGGCGGAGGCATTAAAAGAAGGAGCTTAGTGGAAGGTGATTAGATTAGGGATCTTTACCCTCAAAAGGGAAGTGAGTTAGTTCTCTTGACAGTGAGTTGGCAAAAAGTGAAGCCACCTGATAGGACTGGTCCCCTGCTGTGTTGTAATCAGCCAATGGCTGGCTGAGAAAGGGGCTCATTGATGCAAAACATCCTAGATTGTCTGATCTTGCTTGGACTTCCAACCTGGACTTCCAAACTCTGACCTAAGTAAACTTTTTTCAGTTATAAAGTATATAGTCTCCCATATTTTCATATAGCACCCCAAAGTGAACTAATACACATCAATCTTCTCAAAAGTTTTGGCCCTTCTAGCATTCTCATTCAGAGAGATTTATAGATTCTTGGATCCTTAACCATCCCATAGGAAAATATCTTTCCTCCTAGTTCTTCCTGGCATTTACTGCAATGGCTGTTCTATGGATTTTGGTAGCTTAGAGTCATTTTACCTTGGATTCTACTGCTCAGGGGATACACAAATGCACCATATTCCAAACCTACAGATCAGAGGTCACTATGGATCTTAAACTGTCTGTCACATGCATGACAATCACTAGAAAAGTCTGTTTTTAAGGCAGCATCTCTGAGATACTCTTTGTTAAGTCAGTATGGGGCTCATGAATCTGCATTTTTCTCTTTTTTATTGTTATTACCAAGTAGTTGTATAAAACGGTTACAATTCCTTAAGTTATGAGTGCAATGCTTCTTGGTTAACATCACCCCTTTCTTTGTTCCTCATTTTCCCCTCCAATCCTTACCCACAAGTTACATAGTTCATTTCTTTTATATTGTATACCTTGAATGCAATGACTGCATTTGTTTACCCTCCCTCTATTCCAGTGTCCCTCTTTTGGTGTCCAAAAACATGTTTCCACTTCCTGGTATTTGTTTTGATAAACCATACTTCAGTTGTTCAGAGGAGTTATGCCTTTGGATTCATGCCCTAAGTAAGTATACTCTCCTTTAGTCAGTTAGTTTGTATATAAATGCATTGAACCCTGTATAAATTACCATGCCTACTTGTATGTACAACTTCTACATATGAGAGAAAACACGTGCCATTTGCCTTTTTTGAGTATGGCTTATTTCACTTAACATGATATTTTCTGGGTCCATCCATTTCCCTGCAAATAACAAAATATTATTCTTTCAAGTGGATGAGTTTTTTAAAAAATTAAAAAAACCCTCAAACGGGGGGGGGGGGGGGGGGTGTAGGCCTTAGTTTGATCAACATTGTCTTTCAGCCTATCTGCACCTATACGAAGTCAATAAGATGTAGTAGATTCATTTGAATTGCCCAAGGCTATACAGAGATAAAACAAACAAACAAACAAACCTGCCTTCACGGCAGAAATGAAGACACACAAGAGATAAAGGAGATCTCATCAAGGCAATTTACTTCTATGCAGAAGGGTGCATAGCCGCTCTCCACAGATTTAGGCAGGCATACCAGGCAGGGTATCTGCTCAGTTTTTATCTTAACCCAAGCTGCCTCTCCTTGTCAAGGAGTCAGGCTCACCTCCTATTCACAATTGGTTAGCAGATTGGTAGACTGATACAAGGAAGTTTAAAAGCACTACAATCATTTGTGAAAGTTCCCACTCATTGATAAGGACTTATACCCTTGACACTACTGACTGATTATAAACAGCACAGCTGATACTGTTTGAACTTAAGAAGCAAATAATTCCAGGAAACGTCAGTATAGAATATGATGAGTTGAGTTGTTGCAAGATGGAGACATTTTTGGTTTGACAGAAAAGACAGCTTTTTCTCACAGCCTAAGCATAAAAACAGGACCAAAATCCACCCATCCTGTAAGTAAGTGACATGTATTTCAGGCCTGTACTTAGCTCTAAAAGCAAGAGCCTTCTAGGGTTCAGCCACTGTTAAGATGGGTGTGGCCTGGCTCCCTGTGAGGGGTCAGCCCTATGACACAACCTTTTCCAGGGTGGAATCATTAAGGATATAGTCACCGCAGCATAAAGAATATAATAAGCATCTTTTCCTCAAATCCTAGCATAACTTTGACTTACTCAAGGAATTGCACATCTTAGCTGGGTGTTGCTGCTCATCCCTGTAATCCTAGGAGGCTGAGATCTGAGGATTGTGGTTCAAAGCCAGCCCAAACAGAATAGTCCATGAGACACTTGCCTCTAATTAAGCACCAAAACAAGGACAACATAAAGCTGGAAGAGGCTCCAGTGGTAGAGTACCAGGCCTTGAGCATAAAGGCTCAGGGACAGCATCCAGGCTCTGAGTTCAAGCCCAAGCCCCAGGACTAGCGCGCGCGCGCGCGCACGCACACACACACACACACACACACACACACACACACACAGTTTCAAACCTTGCAAAGCTAATAATCTCTAGTCTCCTCTTAGTTCTTTTTAAAATGTTTTTACTGTTTTTATACAGGTGATATACAGTTATATATGTCAGGTAATAACTACACTTTTTTTGGGACAATGTCACCCCTTCCCTCACTCTCTCCCAGTTTTTCCCTCCTATCTCCACCCACAAGTTGTAGAGTTCTCCCCTTAAATCTTAATGGTGAAGTCTATGGGGTAGGCGGTTGGAGGAGTTTTCTAAAGCATCTGTTTAGTCTTGTTCTCATCTCTATTGACCTTTTGTCTTTTAGGTCATTAGCACAAATGTGTAGTGCAATTGGAAGTAACACAGTTGCTATCTGACATCATAGTCCAAAGTCAAGACCAGATGCAGCATCATCAACATCTGAGTCTATACATCCGATCTTTTTCACTTATAGTAAGTCACACAGGACCACAACATGCTATTATGCTCAGCATTTTATACCCAGTAGCTATTCAGAAAAAAAGGATGACAGAAATATCCAGTCACCAATGTACACAATAACCACAAGGTATATTATGACATGTTTGGGAGAGTACACTATCTGTGCTGGCTGCTTTATCAGGTAAACTCCCACAGAGCATAGCAGTCCAATGTTAGGGTTAAAGGCAAATAGAAGACAATAGCTCAAAAGATGGTACTGCGTTTATTAAATTTTTTTGAGCTGGTCCTGGGACTTGAACTCATGGACTGGGCACTGTCCCTGAAAATTTTTGCTCAAAGATGGTGCTCTACCACTTGAGCCACAGCTCTACTTCCAGGTTTGGTAGTTGGAGATAAGAGTTTTCATGGATTTTCCTGCCATGGCTAGCATTGAACTGTGACTGTCAGCATCTTAGCGTCCTGAGTAGCTAGGATTACAGGCATGAGCTACTGATGCCCAGCAGCACATCTTTTAATCGGGAGTCTCTACTGTAGTCTTTTGGGTTTTTTTTCTTACCATGTAATGAAAACAAGCAATCTAAGCTACTGAGCCATTCTAGCTCATAGTTTATATTTCTTCCTAGCTTTTGAATTCATCACAGCCAAGTAAAGAAAAAAAAGCAGAAAATCATGAGAGTTACCAAAAAAAAAAATCAAAAGCTGATTACCATTCTCCACAGCAGCTGGAAGTCAGAATTAATTACTTAGTCACTAACAGTAGAAGAAAATATTCTTTCAAAGGAGTGATACTCTCTCAAGAAAGGATACACAGGACACTAGATCATATACTACAGAGTGATATTTACATTTCAGAAATCAGAAGTCAAATTATGAAATGGAGGGAATTTTAGATGTCGTTCAGAATATTTTTACTTGAGCTGAAAACACGAAAATGTTGCACAGGCGTTTTGTAAGGGGGTTAACAAGCGTCTATTACCAAGACATATGGGTTAATAATTTCATGGGTTATTCAGGAATGATCTGCTATGATTGAAACCATGTGTGCAGAGTTTGGGCTTCTGCAGGATGTGTCTCACCAGCCAAGGCCCTGAAGATATATTTGTGTTGCCTGCAAAGCATACAGATGATTGGCTTAGATACACTTCCCAGACATAAACAGTGAAGGAATGTTCCTGAAGTTCTGTATGCTATCAGATAGAGAAGGAGTACTGCTTACCACATTGTACAAGCCGATGCACCAACGCTCAAACAAAATCTGTCCAGAAAATCCATTAACAAAGGCGAACCAAAGCTGAAAGAGAAGAGAAAGTTCATGAAGTTTTTAGATCAATATTGACCTAACTGTTTCCATTCACTAAAGGACTGGGGAATGTGGACCACCAGCTGGACACAACTGCTAATGGATAATGAGCCCCAGGATCATGGCAGTAGTTCTTTCCTTGAATTCCCAATATATCACAACTATCAAAATTTTAATAAAAATTTATATTGAAGACTTCAATTCTTTTTTGTGCCAGGATCTGAGTGCTGTCTCCTCAAGGCTTGTGTTCTATCACATGAGCCATAGTTCCACATTCAGCTTTTTTGGTGTTAATTTAAGGGAAGAGTCACATGGACTTTTCTGCCTGGGCTGACTCTGAACCATTCTCTCAGATCTCAGCCTCCTAGGTAGCTAGGATTATAGGCATGAGCCACTGAAGCCTTGCTGAAGACATCAATTTTAGGAGGCAATGTGTACAGGCTTGCAGACAGGAAAATAATTAATTTATACTTAATATGTGTTGTGTTCACATTGTGATTGGAAGAATCTCAACTTCATGTTTTTTCCCTATACATTTGATTTGGTCAATATGATTTGTTTCAAAACATGGAGCCTCTTTTCCTGATGACCACCACCTTAACAAATGCAAAGCAGAATAATATGGAAAAAATATTCTCAAGTCATCCTTTGGGAAGGTATAGAATATATAATTAGATAAAATGCTGGATTGTTATTCATGCCTTCGAGTAGTCTACAATTCATGATTGACCATAAATAACTACAAAGCAAATTGCGAAGAATATAATTAGTGCCAAACAACAAGGGAAGAAAACCACATTAGCGAAGGAAAGATCATTCAAATACAATCAGCAGAAGATATGGAGGGAGTCCGATGATGAAGAGGGAATGGAAGAAGAGATGAGCCATCAGATCAATGTGCAGAGACTGGACTCGAAATAAACACACCACAACATGGGGTACAAAGTCCTTCCATTTAGAATCTAGTAGAATTTAGCTACAGTCATGCAGCTATGGACCCATTGCAATAATGATATGTACAAGTAGTTATGTTGAAAACGAACTTTACAACTTTGGTGGGGGGGGGGGAGGATTGGGTGGGGGAGCGGAGGAAGGATGGGAAGAAGGAGGAGGCTACAATGCTTGATAAGAAATGTACTCATTATAATGCCCATGTAATTGTAACCCCTCTATACAGTATTTTCACAATAAATAAAAAAAAAATCCCATACAATGTTACTGAATTTCTGCATTTGTAATTGCTAGGTGCCTTGTTTGTATAAATAATGATGTATATGTCTTTCTCTGTGTTCTTTGGGGGGGGGGGGGCTATTGCTTACAAACTTCTTTTAGAATTGAGAAAAATAGCCAAAGCATCTTTGATAGAAGGTTCTGCACTAGATGAAAGTATCTGAAACCAAGTTGGAGTGACTTCTAAAGTGAAGATCTTTAACAATAGTTTTTCTTCTGTGAGTTCCCTTATTTCCCATTTTGTACTAGATCTTTCCTAAAAAAATGAGTCCTATCCTACCCATTTCTCCTTCAAAAGAAAATCTATGTGCCCATATATAGTTAATTCTTGGAGTATCTCTCCAACTTTCACATATATAAAGATTGTAAAGACACTAGGGCTACACCCCCCAGCTTGTTCCCAACCTGAGTAAATTTTTTAAAATGTAATTCTCACCAAACATGACATTTATATATATGTATATATATTTAAAATTTTTTTTTATTGTGAAAATACTGTACAGAGGAGTTACAATTACATGGGCAAGATAATGAGTACATTTCTTGTCAAGTATTGTAGTCTCCTCCTTTGTTTCCCCTTCCTATCCCTTCCCATCCTCCCCCCACCCCCCACCCAATTCTCCTCCCCCCCCACCAAAGTTGTAAAGTTCATTTGTCCACATAACGACTTGTACATCTCATTGTTGCAATGGATCCACCTGTATCCCTATTTAAACGATTTGTTTTATCCCTTCCCCTCCACAAATTATACCAACCTCAAATACAGTGAAAGCAGGGGTTATACCATGGGGGAGGGACATACAAAGCAACAAAGAAATAATCTTATAAATGTGTTAGAAACTATCACCTGAAAGAAAAAAAAACATTTGAATATATGTCTTAGGGTTCATTTCCCTAACATCAACTTATCTGACCTTTTCTGCTTGACTCAGACATAAATAGTTATTGCAAATAAGGGAAACCATGGGACCTAAGTTTCTTTGGGCCTGGCTTACTTCACTTAACAATATATTTTTTTCCAAGGCTTTCCATTTCCTAACAAATGGGGCAATGTCATTCTTTCTAATGGAGGCATAGAATTCCATTGTGTATATATACCACCTTTTCTGAGGGGCATCTGGGTTGGTTCCATATCTTAGCTATGATAAATAATGCTGCAGTAAACATAGTCGTGCTGGTAGCTTTAGTGTGGCTTTGTGATCCTTTGGGTAAATGCCCAAAAGTGGGATTGCTGGGTCATAGGGGAGCTCTAGGTGGAGTCTTTTGAGGAACCTCCATACTGCTTTCCAAAGTGGTTGAACAAGTTTACACTCCTACCAACAATGCAGTAAGGTTTCCTTCTGTCCATATCTCCTCCAGCATCTGTTGTTATTAGAGTTCTTGACTAGAGCCATTCTAACTGGGGTGAGGTAGTATCTCAATGTTGTTTTGATTTCCATTTCTTTTATGGCTAGGGAGGTTGAGCATTTCTTCATGTGTCTATTGGCCACCCTTCTTTCCTCTTCTGAGAAGTTTCTCTTTAAGTCTTTAGCCCACTTATTTATTGGGCAGTTGTTTCTTTGAAGATTTGTGTTGGGGGGATTTAATTTTTTGAATTCCAGGTATATTTTAGTTATGAGACCCTTGTCTCAAACATGACATTTGTGACCAAAACTACTTGTTGTGTAATACTAGAGGGAAGCAATTTGGGCTTTCCATGCAGAAAGTGGGGCATTCAGAGACCTGGAAGAGAAAATTAATGTATGTTCAAGTCACTCAGGAACTTGTACCCAGGTGAAAAAACATTATGTGAAAGTGACCACAAAACTGTTTATTAGGAGATGGACGAATGTAACACCATGTTTACTGCTAGAAACCAAAGCTTTTGTGAGAAATCTTGACTTTATGGGGAGGGAAGATGGCAAAGTGTGTAACCATCTACCCTTTCTCTGATCCCTGCAGACTAAAGTTCCCTTAGGCTTTGATGATCCCAGCCTTGGCGTGTTTTATTTTGTGATTAATTTTTCTGTACCCAAATACTTCCTTTCCCCTTTTCTAATCATTTTGTAACACATGCTGACTCTTCCTTTCAATAAGTACCTATTGGGACTCAAACAAAATCCCATACAATCACAGACTCTAGTTGAGTGAGGTAAAAATCAAAGCCGTTCAAATGTATTATTATTAATTATTATTATGGTAGAACCTAATGGGCAATAGTTCTGCCATAACAACCCACCCCAGAAATTTTCCTGACTCATATTTTTTTCAAAATTTGCTTCCTAATTCTAACAAGTCCTAGTATTTTCTGTCCTTCCTTCTTTCCTTCCTTCCTTCCTTCTTTCCTTCCTTCCTTTTCCTTTTTCTTTCCTTCTTTCTTCCTTCCTTGCTTTCTTTCCTTCTTTCTTTTTGTCTTTCTCCCTTCCTTTCCCTTCTCTTCCCTGGCCTTCCCTTCTCTTCTCTTCCCTTCCCTTTTCTCTCTCCCTTTCCCTCTCCCTCTCCCTGTCCCCTTTTTCTTTCTTTCTGTGCCTCTACTAGAGCTTAAACTCAGGGCCTAGATGCTGCCCCTAAGACTTTCCTTGCTTAAGTCTAGTTCTCTACTGCTTTAGTCACAGCTCCACTTCTAGGTGTTTTTGTGTATGGTTATTTGGAGCTAAGAATTTCCCAGATTTGGAGCTCTGGCTCAAGTGGTAGAGTGCTAGCCTTAAACGAAAAATCTCAGGGATAGCACCCAGGCCCTGAGTTCAAGTCAAGTCCCAGTACTGGCACATACATACATAAAGCCAAACTCTGAAAGAAATGAATGAAATGTTATTTTTTTTTTTGCAAAAAACTAAGTGTAAGACCAGAATGTCAGAAAGAAAGGTAAATATTTTATCAAAATTTTTATTGTTATTATAAAGGTGATATACAGAAGGGATACAGTTACATAAATCAAGTAAAGAGTACAAATTTTTTTGCTAGTTCTGGGGCTCTCTGGGCTGAGGTGCTGTCCCTGAGCTTTTGTGCTCCAGGCTAGTGCTCTACCACTTGAGCCACAGCTCCACTTCCAGTTTTTTTGTTTTTGTTTTGTAGGTCACTGGAGATGAGAGACTCTCACAAACCTTCCTGCCTGGGCTGGCTTCAAACCATGACTCTCAGATCTCAGCTTCCTAAGTAGCTAGATTATAGGCATGAACCATCAGTGCCTGGCTAAGAGTACATTTTTTTTGGACAATGTAACTCCTTCTCTCCCTCTCTCCTAGTTTTAACCTACCATCACCACCTACAAGTTGTATAGTTCATTTTCAACACTGTGTTCAGCGAGTGAGTACCAGTGCTGCATTTCTTCACCCTTTCTCTCTCCATTTCTGTGCTTCCCTTTACACTCCAAAGACATATAAAGAAACAAACAGAACAAAAAGGAAAGGAAAGGAAATTAAAACAGCAAAACAGAAAAAAAATCCCTCTTGTTTTCATTTCCTGGAGTTCATTTTGGTAAATATTATTCTACATGATTAAATGCACATAGGCATTTTGCCTTTCTGTTCCTCTCCTAAGAGTATCCTCAAGAAAGGTAAATATTTAACACAGTAACTAATTTCCATAGAGAAAAGTATTAATAAAATTGAAAGGAAATTGATCCACAGTACAATCAAAGGCCTGGTTTTCTCAATATGTAAATCAGAATGAAACTGCCCTGTAAGAGGCTAGAAAGATATGCTAAGAGTATATCCACTGTGTTTTCAGGGGAAAAGAAAACTTGGATATAAATGGAGGAAATCTCTCTATATTCTCCTCCC